GTGCAACACCCCGGGGCCAGGCCTTCACCTGCCAGCCTGCAACCGGCTTATGCTGTCGGGAGCTGCTGGCCTCTCCGAGGGGTCTCTGCAGGGCTGGAGGGGCAGGAAAAAAAGAAAAACCCACATGTCAAAGCCCATTTTTGTCCAGGAGGGAGCTTCTCCAGGGGTTTTCTCTGTCCCAGAAGCCGTGGCAGGTGCGAGCTCCCCAGCAGCCTCCACATCCAGGAGCTGTGTTGAGACGGATTTGTCCCACATCCCCGCCAGGCGGGGACCCCTTGGTCAGGGCACCCCCCAGGGGCTCAGTCTGGGTCAGATGGGCACCGTCACAGAGCCTGGACCCACAGCTCCAGGAAGGAGCCACGGCCATGAAGCATCAAGCACGTTTACCTTCCTTCCTCCTCCAGACGAGGGTGCGGATGAGCACGGCAGAGCCGATGGCAGCCAGGAGGGAGGCCAGCACCACGCTGGGTACCATGATGCTCAGGGCTGGCCTGGGAGAGCTAAAGGCCAGAGGAAGAGGAGCAGGGCTGCTGCTCTCCGTCCCGAGGGTTTGCTTCTGCAGAGTCCTGGTGGGGTGGTGCCCCCCCTTTCACAGCCTCCAAGCCAGCTCCGTGATGGGACACGAAGCAGGGAAAACGGCCTGACCCTTGGCTTTCCCCAAGGTGGACAGGAGTCCTGGTGTCACCCCCAGCCTCACGGGAGCAGGGCAGCACCCTGCAGGGGTGAGCAAGGTGCCCAATGTGCCTCACTGGGACACGTGGCTTCCTAGGGGCTCCTTTTGGGCCTTTGCTGCTGCCTCACCCAAAGAGTCACGGGCTCCCAGGTGGTTCAACCCAGCAGCTCCCACATGCACCCATGAGCCCCCAGGTGTGAGGGCTCCCCGTCACCCCCCAAGGCTGCAGAGAGCCAGCGCCCATCCCCACACCCACTCGGTGTCCTGGGCTCACCCTGGGGTGGTCACATTGGTGGTGATGAGGAGCTCTGTCCCATTCATGACAGTGGAGACCACGGGCGTCTGCGCTGTCGGGGTGGTTGGGGGAGCTGCTGAGGTAGCTGGCAGAGCTGCGTTAACGAAATCCTGCTGGGAGCTGGGGACTGTAGGTGGCCCCGGTCCCCGATGTCCCCCGCAGCAGGCAAATATTTGCCCTTAGTGCCTTCAGCTGGTGCTGTTGGCCGTGCCGGGTTCCCGCAGCCCTCCTCGGCGGGCCATGCCTGGTGCCCACCTGGCTGCAGAAATTCAGGTCCTACAGCCCCCGTGGGGAGCAGCTCTGCCCAGCGACTCCCACCCAGCCTGTTCCAGCCCCGTCTCCCCCATCCCCATATGCCAGAGGATTTCCAGAGGTCAGAGGGGTTGGATCTACCCCGCTTCCTCATCCAGAGACTCAGATGTTTTATCAGTGAGATGCTCTTGTGGCATCTTCACCTTTTTGCTTTGCTGCCTCTGTTTCTTCCTTCTTTCAGTCTTCCTTCAAGTTGGTCTCCACGTTGCGTTTGTCAGGACCTGCTTTCATTTTCGGGAGCGTAGGGGACAGGTCAGGTGCTCCCTGGCTTTAGTGTCCCCACGTTACTTTAGCGCAGAAGTGCTGCCGAACTCGGCGGCGGCTCGGCATCCTTCCTGCCCCGTGGTCAGCGTGTGAGCACAAATAACTGCCCGGGGCTTCACCACGGCACGCTCTGCAGCCGCCTCGCTGTCCTCTGCACGAGCATCCGCCCCGGGGGGAGCGCCCCGACCACCCCTCCCAGCCTCTGCCCCTGGTTTGTACT